ACCTACAATATGACCCAGCCATCTGACTCCTGGGAACTTACCCAAGGGAGCTGAAATTATCACAGCTCAATTCACAATAGCTAAGACATGGAATCAACCCAAATGCCCGTCAACTGAAGACTGATAAAGAAATTATGAGATATGTACATCATGGAATACTACAGAGCAGTAAAAAAAAAAATCTAAGTCCAGTCATTTGCAATAAAATGGTTGAAACTGGAAAACATCATTCTTAGTGAAATAAGCCAGTCCCAAAGGGACAAATTCTGTGTCCCCCCCATCTGTGATAACTGATAGAGCACCTAAAATATACCATGTAGAAATGAAACAGAAACTCTGAGAAGCAATGATTGTGAACAGCCCTTCTTCTGACTGTCAAGGAATAGCTTTTTATTTTATATTTTTATTTATCTTTCCCTTTATAATATTTTCCTTATCTTTTTCTCTTTCTTTTTTTTAATTTTTTATTTTTTAAGGTCTTCTTTCCATTGTTTCTTTCCCCAAAATGGCCACTATGGCCAGCGCTGCGCTGATCCGAAGCCAGGAGCCGGGTGCTTCCTCCTGGTCTCCCATGGGGTGCAGGAGCCCAAGCACTTGGGCCATCCTCCACTGCACTCTCAGGCCACAGCAGAGAGCTGGACTGGAAGAGGAGCAACCAGGACTAGAACCCGGCACCCATATGCGATGCCGGCGCCACAGGCGGAGGATTAACCAAGTGAGCCATGGTGCCGGCCCATCTTTTTCTCTTTCATATGACTCATTGAACGATATGCTTAACATAAAGTTAATCATATATTTAAAAAGTTAATTGAAAATAGATCTTGGTAAAGAATAAGAGTGAGAATAAGAAAGGGAAGAAAAAGGGGGATGGGAAGGCAGGCACAGTGGAAAGAATCACCAAGATCCTAAAGCTGTAATTGTGAAATGTATGAAGTTTGCAACTGCAAAGCAGTGTAGTCCAACATACATTCCTACAGACTTACTTCAAGAGTACAGCTTAACAACTAGCCATAGGACACCAAAATCCCTAAAGCTGACTGATAAAAATAGCAGCTTAAGTGCTATAAAGATCAAATAGATAGGAAAAAGTGGTAAAGTGACCATACAGATAAGATGAAATGTTAAAGTGATCATATAAGTAGGACTAAGTGTTGGAAACAATAACAGAATTAAAAAGGAGTTAAGGCTCCAACATGGGAAGCAGCCCACACAGCAGACTTAAAGAAAGACAAGGGGCTGGCGCTGGCACCATGGTGCACTAGGTTAATCCTCCACCTGCTGTGCCAGCATCCCATACGGGTGCCGGTTCCAGTCCCAGTTGCTCCTCTTCCAGTCCAGCTCTCTGCTGTGGCCTGGGAAGGCAGTGGAGGATGGCCCAAGTGCTTGGGCGGCTGCACCCACATGGGAGACCAGGAGGAGGCTCCTGACTTCTGGCTCCGGATCGGCGCAGCTCTGGCCGTTGTGGTCATTTGGGGAGTGAACCAACAGAAGGAAGACTTTTCTCTCTATCTCTCTCTCTCTCTCTCACTGTCTGTAACTCTGTCAAATAAATAAATAAACTCTTAAAAAAAAAAAAAAAAGAATGACAATTGCTTTAAGTAGCACTCTGACCTGAGACAGCCCTTAAGGCATTCTGGTCTGGCTGGAAAGCCCAGTGGAAACATTTGAGGCATGGAAAGCCAAGACACTATGGAAAAAAATGTCCTACATAAAGGACCCCAGTGCGTGATACCCCAGTGGAAAGAAGTGGCCATCAAAGAAGGATATATGTTTTCTCTTAAAAAAAAAAAAAAGATTTACTTATTTTATTTGAAAGTCAGAGTTACACAGAACGAGGAGAGGCAGAAAGAGAGAGAAAGAGAGAGAGAGAGAGAAAGAGAGAGATCTTCCACCCACTGGTTCACTCCCCAGTTGGCTGCAACAGCCGGAGCTGCACTGATTCAAAGCCAGGGGCCAAGAGCTTCTTCTGGGTCTTCCATGCGGGTGCAGGGGCCCAAGGACTTGGGCCATCTTCACTGCTTTCCCAGGCCATGGCAGAGAGCTGGATCAGAAATGGAGAAACCAGGACTCAAACCAGTGCCCATATGGGATGCCGGCACTGCAGGCTGTGGCTTTACCTGCTACACCACAGCGCCAGCCCCAGAAGGATGTCCTTTTCTCTGAAGGGAAGAGAGACCTTCCACTTTGTTTATGTCCCTGTTGAGCTACTGAATCCAAAAGGCTTCTATAGCCAAGGCAGCTCATGTCAAGAGCCTTGGATGATCACTGATGTCATACGTAAGAGTGTTATTTGTTAAACAAACAAGAATCACTGTGCACCAACTTCCCATGCAGGACCTCTATCCCCAGAGAGCTGTAATATGAGACTTAACAGTAAAACGTGTTCTCAAGAATCACTTCCTTTTCGGCCGGCGCCGCGGCTCACTAGGCTAATCCTCCGCCTTGCGGCGCCGGCACACCGGGTTCTAGTCCCGGTCGGGGCACCGGATTCTGTCCCGGTTGCCCCTCTTCCAGGCCAGCCCTCTGCTGTGGCCAGGGAGTGCAGTGGAGGATGGCCCAGGTGCTTGGGCCCTGCACCCCATGGGAGACCAGGAAAAGCACCTGGTTCCTGGCTCCTGCCATCGGATCAGCGCGGTGCGCCGGCCGCATCGCGCTGGCCGCGGCGGCCATTGGAGGGTGAACCAACGGCAAAAGGAAGACCTTTCTCTCTGTCTCTCTCTCTCACTGTCCACTCTGCCTGTCAAAAAAAAAAAAAAAAAGAATCACTTCCTTTTAGTGTATTAAATGGAGGATATTATTATGTCTCATAAGTTATATTCATGCCGGGGCTGGCACTGTGGTGTGGCGGGTAAAGCCGCTGCCTGCAGTGCCAGCATCCCATATGGGTGCCAGTTTGAGTCCTGGCTGCTCCACTTCCCATCCAGATCTCTGCTATGGCCTGGGAAAGCAGTAGAAGATGGCCCAGTCGCTTGGGCCCCTGCACCTGCGTGGGAGACCCAGAAGAAGCACTGCTCTGACCATTGCAGCCATTAGGGGAGTGAACCAGCAGATGGGAGACCTCTCTCTCTCTCTCTCTCTCTCTGCCTCTCTGTAACTCTGCCTTTCAAATAAATAAATCTTTTTTAAAAAAGTTATAGTTATATCTAAGGGCTCACAAAAGACATATCATCCTTGGGTTCTTCCTTAACAACAATTAAGTTTCTAAAAGGAAAGAAGGAAGGGAAAAGAGGAAGGAAAGGAAAAAAGAAAGCAAAATCACCTTTGAGAAGCAATAACATAGAACCGCCCTTGTCCAGAGCATCGAAGAACAGTTCTCTCAGGTATTTATCCATTCTTTATTTTTCTCTTTCTTTCTCGGATTAAATAGGAGAGGGAGGAGGACAGGTTGGGGAATGGGTGGGAGGGCGGGTACCATGGGAAGAATTACTGTGTTCCTAAGGTTTTATTTATGAGATATATACAAATAAAATTGTTAAGTTATACATTTGTTATTAATTGCTGGTTGTCCTGAATTGTAACTGCAACACATTTCTAACTCAAGGACTCTCCCTTCCCACTCTAAAAGATTCAAGTTTATCATCTTCAAGAATGTGCATACTACTTACTATAGGTTTTAAAAAATACTCCTAATAATTGAAATTTATTAACTGTATAGTTAGGTCTTTGATATATCTGCTTATGTATTAACTTGCTTTAACTACCAGTTTTTCAGCAAGATATATTAAAATCTCCAACTGCAATTGTTGTTTTTTTTTTTTACTAATTCTTCCCTAAAGTTCTATCATTTATTAAATAAATTCTAAGACTGAATTTGTCAGTCTGTGTTAATTATGGCTGTATCTTCATTTTACTTTTTTTTTTTAAGATTTATTTATTTACTTGAAAGTCAGAGTTGCAGAGAGAGAGGAGAGGCAGAGAGAGAGAGGTCTTCCATCCGCTGGTTCACTCCCCAAATGGCCACAACGGCTGGAGCTGCACCGATCTGAAGCCAGGAGCCAGGAGCTTCTTCCAGGTCTCCCACTTGGGTGCAGGGGCCCAAGGACTTGGGCCATCTTCTACTGCTTTCCCAGGCCATAGCAGAGAGCTGGATGGGAAGAGGAGCAGCTGGGACTCCAACCAGCGCCCATATGGGATGCCAGCATTGCAGGTCAGGGGGTTAACCTGCTGTGCCACAGCATTAGCCCCTGTATCTTCATTTTAAAAAATTATTTATTTTTATTTGAAAGGCAAAGAGAGAGATCAATCTTCCATCTACCAGTTCACTCCCCAAATATCTGAGACAGCCCCAAAGTCAGGAACCCGGAACTCAGCCCAGGTCTCCCACATGGCTGCCGGGACCCAAATTCTTGGGCCATCACCTGCTGCCTCCAAAGGTGCACATTAGCCAGGGGCTGGAGTCTGCAACAGAGCCAGCACCTGGACCTACACACACCAACATGGATGTGAGTGTCCCACGCAGTATCCTAACCACTGTGCCAACTGCCTGCCCTGGCTGTAGCTTGCTGATCTGTTGTTCTATCAGCACGTAAGACTTTTGTTTGCCAGTTATGGTGATCTGTTCATTTTGCTAGATATTAAAACTGCAACTCCAGTTTTATTTCAATTCATATTTGCAGAATACATCACTTTGCATATTTAGCCTTTATTTGGTTTGTTTTCTGTGTTAAGTGTGACTATCACAGAAAATATATTTCTGGATCACACAAAAAATAACTCATTTGAGAATCCCTATCATTTAAGTCGTATAGTTTTTAGTACATTCATAGTTATTGTAATTACTCTATTATTTCTATGTTCTTACTTTACCATTTACTTTACTTCTTTGGTTTATTTTCATCTTCCCTTCTCTTTTATTTAATAAAAATAATTCTGAGTATAAAATCAGAATATTGGCAAAAAATCATAGTTTTCTCAAAGTTCAATTATACTATTTCATTTTACCATGATAAATTCAAAGAATGTTCAAGTTTCCCTTGATTTGTGTGAGAAAAATTCTTTACCTTATTCCATAGCTGCAGTTCTTGTTCAGGGTATAATCCATAAGATAATACTGGAGCCCCTAAAAATAAAGTTATACTTAATGTTAGTTCTACAGTATTTCTTCTAAAATTAAATGTTTAGACATAATTCCTGTTCAGTTACTATTTCTAATTTTCTCTGTATATCACAACCCTTCTATATCAATCAGATACTTCAGCATTTGACTTATAAGGAGGCTTCACTGTTAAATAAGTCTTAATAACATTACAAGACACTACTTTCAAGAATGAATGACTGAGATGCCTACATAAAAACTTATATGTGAATGTTCATAGTAGCATTATTCATCATATTAGCCCCAAAGCAGAAGGAACCCAAATGTCCATCAGCTGGTGAAGAGATGAAATGTGGCCCAGCCACACACGGTAGCACCACCAGGCCACAAAGAGGAGTGAACTCATGGTTCCGCCTTTACCATTGATGAGTCCCCGAGACATCATACTGAGTCAGCTAAGCCAGATGTAAGAGGCTGAATATTGCATGAGTCCATTTATTTGAAATATACAAAAAAAAAAAAAGAGCAAATCTATAATGACAGATTAGTGGCTGCCTGGAGCAGAGAGACCACACATGTACATAAAACATCTCCTGTGGGTGACAGCAACGTAGTAACATTGTACTGCTGTGAAAGCCAAACAAATGTTTAATTCTAAAAAAAAATCACTGTACTGGACAGTATGTAAAGTAAGTGAATTCACGGTAATTATATAGCAGAGAATTTTTTTTTAAGCATTATTGTTAGGATCTTCATAATTGTTGAAATAAAAATGTTATCTAAATATTCCTCTAAAACAGTATTTTCTCCATAGATTTAATTCTTTAGTTGATACTGTAAAAAGTTTTGTCTTGGTGTTTTCAGGCTGTTACAAATATTGAAATGCAGTTAGTGTTTATTTTCTTATATGTATACATTTATCATTACTAAACATCTAAGAAAACATTTGTAGTAAAAATACTAAACTTTTCTGAGATTTAAAACTGTAGAAAAATTAAACACCAAAAAAAGGTTTAAAGAAAATTTTTAGAATTTTATTTGTTATACATGCTTCATATATACAGATTTAGGAACACAGTGACACTTCTCCCCTCTTCCCCCTCCTCCCTCTCGCATTCCCACTGTTAATTTTTACAAAGATCTATTTTCAGTTTACTTAATGATCATATAGTTACCCCTACTCTAAGTAAAAGAGTTCAACAAAGAGTATGAAGAGAAAAAAAAATACTTCCTCAAAGGAAGAGACAAGGGCCATAAATAACCACTGAATCTCAGAATGTCTATTTCACTCCAATACGTTACGGGTACTCTATTAGTTACCTCGGATCAGGGAATGATAAAGAATTTTTTTAACTAATAAGATAGAACGTACAAATACCTGTAGAACATTTACTTGATGTTCGTGGACTATGCTAGGCATTTCAGAACTTATTTGAAAGGCAGAGAAAGAGGGAGAGAGAAAGTGCAGTCGCTCATCTGTTGGCTCACTGCAGGGCCAGGCTGAAGCCAGGATCCTGCAACTCAGTCCAGGTCTCCCATGTGGGTGGCAGGAACCCGGCCAGCTTGCCCACCACCTGCTGCCTCCCAGGGTGCGCATGAGCAGGGAGCTGGAACAGAAGCCCAGAGCAGCCTTGACTCCAATCAGGCCCCTACGGGTCACAGGCGTTCCAAGCAGTGGCTCGTCTGCTGCACCACAGCGCCAGCCCTCAGCTCCATCTCGTCAAGCCTTCTCTGGAGGTCCACAAGTTTTGACCATCTTTCATTAAGCTCTAATAATAGTAACAATTACACTAATTTACATTTTCTGGGGCTCCATATCAGGATAACTTACAGGGATCCTGAGGCTCTCAGCAGAGCGCTAACTCACGTCTGACCACGACTGGATCCCCTGTTAGGGGACGGGGTTCAAGGTGGGCAAACAGTCACGCACCCCCGGCCACACACATGCATTCCAGAGTCCCAGCTGCCTGGGGACTCACTCCCTGACAGCAGTCTGTGTTGAATAAGGGCTGAAGCTGGGGAGTGGGTGTTGGCCTAGCAGTTAGGATGCCCGTGGCCCACATAGGAACACCTGGCTTCAATGCCCAGTTCCAGCTCCCGACTCCAGCTTCCTGCCAATGCAGGCCCTGGGAGGCAGCCGTGACAGCTCAATTAAGTGTGCTCCTGCACCCACATGGGAGACCTGGATTGCATTCCTGGTGCCTACCCTCGGCCCCAGCACAGCCTTGGCCATTGTGGGCATTTGGGGAGAGAAGCAGAGGATGAGAACTCTCTGCGGGTCTCTCTCCCTGCTCTCTTTCTCTCTGCTTCTCAAATTTTAGAGGAGAAAAGGAGAAGGAGGAAGAGGGGGAGAAGAGATGAGGGGTGAAGGAGGGAGAGAAAGAGGGGCTGGAAGGAAAGGAGGGACAAGGAGGGAGGGAAGGGGAAAAAGCAATAAAACGGCGCTTCTCCAATTCGTCTAAAACACCTGGTGCTCTGGGTGAAGGAGGCTGTGTTTGGTGGGTCATCCTGTTTAGAGGCTGCCATCAGACCATCCTGACACTCCTGTCTGCCCCTCACCTGCCAGTAAGCGTCGCAGCTTCCGCCCTCAGGCACTGGAGGCGGCCACACTGCTTCCTGCCAACGACACCACGCAGAGCTTGCCTGGGCCCCTTGGACATCGCTGTCATGCCTTAGTTCCACTCACAGAAAACCCAAAGAGCGGTACTTGCTGGGTTGGGTCCCGGCTCTGCCTTCTGACTCCAGCCTCCTGCCAATGCAGGCCCTGGGAGGCAGCGGTGGCTCAGGTGATAGTGCTCCACCACTCATGTCGGACAGCTGGAGGGCATTCCCAACCCTTCCTTCAGCCAGCCCAGCAGGTGGAAGCTTGGCTGGCATCCATCTCTCCTTCTCCCTCTCTCTCCCCGCCTCCAAAGTAAATTTTTTAAAATTTATGTTTTTTTTTAATTGATTTATTGGAAAGGCAGAGTTACAGAGAGAAAGTGAGGGGAGAGACACACAGATCTTCCATCCACTGTTTCACTCCTCAAATGGCCGCAACAGCCAGGGCTGGGCCATGCTGAAGCCAGGAGCCAGGAGCTTCTTCCAGGTCTCCCATGGGGGTGCAGGGGCCCAAGCACTTGGGCCATCTTCTACTGCTTTCCCAGGCCACAGCAGAGAGCTGGACTGGAAGAGGAGCAAGTGGGACTAGAACTGGCGCCCACATGGGATGCTGGCATTGCAGGAAGTGGCCTAACCTGCCACACCACAACACCAGACTCCTAATTTATTTTTTTAAAGGAGTATTTTGTGACCTTTTCAAAACCACATAAACACAGTCTCAGGATAATAAAAGTAGAAAAGCAAAAATAATAATAAAAACCATTTTCCTGTCATCTATAGACAGCCACTAATATCCTATGACTCAACCCAACGTAAGAGGGAATTATCCTTGTCCCTTTGTGGTCGTTCACCAGCGCTGAGAGGTTTTCTGCCGAGGACACCCTCGATGTGGGCGCTGTGGCCGAGACTCTCCCTAGAGTCAGAGACAGCACCACTCCTTGTGCATAAAAGCTGCACTGTCTGGAAACTTCTACCCACATATTCCTACGTGAGTGCTATGCACCAGAGATCGGTTTCCCTCTCATTCTCCAACACCTGATGTGGGCACTACAGACAGCTGAGACCAGTGTAAGAGACAGCAAAGCAGAGCCGATTGTTTGAGAGGTGGACCCAGTCTCCCTTCCCCGAGGCTGGCGCCCTGCTCCATCGCTGTGGGACTGGGAGGTTAGGATGGAGCGTGCTGGCCATTCAGATGCCTCAATTTCGCCTTGGACGTTTAATCACTTATCAAAGGCAAAATCAAGCGACTTTTTTTTTTTTTTGCAGATATCCAACATGTGTTGGTCTTATAAAAAACGCCTTTCTTTATTCTAATAACATTCTCCAAACAGCCAAATGCTTCCTCCCCCAAAGCCTCCATCTCACCCTCCATCTCTGCACGGCCCTTGTCTGCTCTGCTCACAAGGGTGCTGCACTTATTGACACGCTGTTACTTTCCTCTGGCTTTGGACACTTTGTTTTGTCGGCCGATACATGCAGTTTCACCTGGCTCCACAGTGGATGGTGGATGGCGGTAGGGTCTCTCCTAGCTTCTGCTCCGTGTGTCATGTCACCGCCCTCCGCACATCTCCCTCACCACCCCTCCCCCCCACACACACACAAACCACGCTCAGGGACCCGAGATGAGGGCAGATCCCACTGTTCTCCAACCTCCCGCTTCCCTCCCACCTTTCCAGAGAGGCAAAGTGAGTTTTCGGTCCCGAGCGCAAGTCTGCAGGGGAAGGAAGACGCAAAGGGGTCTCAGGGTGGTGAAGGAGGCGGCTCATTCTTTTGCTTGAAAAATCCTGGGGGATGGTTACAGATGGTTGGTCAGCCGGCAGAGGGGCTCCTGGGAAATCAAGACTTCTCCGGTGGGAACAGGAGTCTGCCACTGCTGCCCAAGCCCCCTGCAAGCACACAGCACGCAGCAAGCTCGCCTGGGACGCGCATTCTCCTGCCACAGCCTGCTCACCTGCACCCCGGAGGACGGCAGCTACGAGGCCCGCCGCGAGCGATCAGTGACCATTCAACACCTGGCCCAAGCCACGCGGGGTGACCGCCGGCTTAGGCCTGCCAGCCTCGGATGGCTTCGATTTCAACGCCAAATTTTCACACACACACACACACACACACACACACACACACACACACACACACCCCTCCAGTGCCTCCAGGAAAGGAGGAATCCAGAGCAAACCAAGGAGAGCAATAAGAATAAGTAGGAATACTAATAGCCCCCACCCCAGCTCCGAGCCAGGGCACGGCTGCGCTCTGCAAAGCCTCTGCCATGGCGATTCTGAGACCCGGGGGTTCCGAACGAAGATGCCCGGAGCCGCCCACAGCAGAGCTAACAGGCCCTGCCAGGCCCTCGGGGCAGGAGCAGGGCAGCGGCTGGGGGAGCCACGAACGACGGCCCCTGCCGGGTCCGTACCTGGAAAGGCAAG